CAGTGTGTAGCGCCAGCTCAGCCAGGGCCTCCACACTGCTGGCAACCTGGGGAGGCCTGCACGACCTCCTTGTCCTCTTGCCTCTCGGGACTGTGCAGGTTGCTGTCCTGCCACTCAAAAGCCCGTTATTTAAGCTCTTGTTCTGAGACATACCACAGAGAAACCATGATGTGTCATAGGTGGTTGATAAGTCATTGCTTTGAACTGTGTGACCCCTGGACACTGAAACACTGCTCTTAGGAACCCTGCGGTACGAGGGACATGGGGGCACATCCTTGCAAGGTGGTTCCTGTTGATGGGGGAGATTCTGTGTTTGCCATGGAACTCACTAGTTCAAAAAGCCTAGATTTCAAAATGCAGACTCTGGGGGAGGTGGGCGCGGCCTGCCAAGCCCCAGCCAACTTGTTTTTCCCACCTCCATCCTGTTTTCCTCAAGAAGCCTGTCACACTGAAACTCTTTGATGTTCTTACCTGTAAAAATAAAACACGGGCTCTTATTCATTGTCAGATACGACCATCAGAGCCAGTCACCTACCCTGCCCCTGCTTTCATTAATAAATGAGTCTTTATTTCATTCCTATAATTTCTGATGACTTTTTTCTCAACATCACTTTTGCGGCTTGTGTCCTGTACACCAAGGGATCTTGCCGTAAGGGACACAAGCCGCAAAAGTGATGTTGGGAGTGGGTTATTCAACTTCCTGGCCCCTCCCTGCAGGTGACCTTTCTGTGGTCTCCTGCCTGTTGTTCTGCCAGGCTGATGGGAGACAGTATCTGTTCTTCCCTGCGTCTGGCCTGGGACCTTATCTACTCCGTCCCCACTGTGGGAGGCCCCTGCTGGTCTGCAGGGCTGGCCCACCGCCTGCTCAGCTTCCTGCTCTTGACTGGGCTTTCAGATTCACGGGAGCACTTCTGCCGATCCCTGATCTTTGCTAGACACCACCCACTGTATCTCTTTCCTTCCAAAGTGACCTTTCTAGAAAGAGTACTGAACACTGGTGACAGCCGGCTCCTTGTCTTGTTCTGACTCCTCATCCTGCAGTCACCTGACTGCAACGGTCTGTGAAAGCACTCCTCCTCTCGCTGCCCGCTGCCCGAGGTCCACCAGTGCCTGAATCAGGGTCTGTCCAAGGTCCTCTTTCTGATTTCCTGCTGTTTTCCACTGCAGGCCGTATCCGAGACACCAGTGTCAGGTTGCCATAGCAACTCTCACATGCTGACCTTTCCCTCTTGCTTTTTCTGGGTGAAGTGTACCCACTTCTCTCTGCCCTAAGAAAAGTGGTGCCCCTGCAAACTCCAGCCCAGGATGCCAACTTGGAGGAGCATGGCTCCTGTTCCTGAGTGCAGGTGCCAGGGGCAGGTGTGAGCTCAGAGCCCACGATGGCCAAGGGACATGCAGGTCCCTCCAGTCCTGGAGTGCTGGCTGCCACTCAAGGACACTCCCTGCCACTGCTTCCAGGAGTGATGTGGGTCTCAGGTTTGGAGGGTTAGACATGATGGAGGTGACCTGGTCCTCCATGCCTCAGGAATAGCCCCGAAACTCTCTGGAAGTACCCTCAGGCCACCCTGTGCTATAAGAGAAGGAAGAGGGGCAGCAGGGTGTGGGTCCGCCTGCCGCACACTGAGGAAGCACTTGCTCAGGGCAGGCTGTAGCCGGTGTTCTCAGTGCTTGCAGGGTGGCTGCCTCTGGGCTGAAGCATGCAGGGAGAGGCCGGCTGCCATCTGCAGCAGGATCACACCTGGAGCCCTCGACCACGCCAGCTAGTAAGGTTGCGCCAAGGAGTCCTTTACTCCAGGCATGTTCACTTGGTCGTCTCCTCGTCCCACCATCCTGGGTACCCCAAAAGGTCAGAAGCAGTGAGCATGTCCCCTTCTTGGGTGGGACATAGCCCCTCCCCATCAACGGTAAGGCCCTTAGTAGCAAAGAGGAGCAGAAGAAGGCAGGGGCTGTCAGTAAGAGTTTTAAGGCTTGATTTCAGAGACTGGTCAACAAAACCACTGCCCAGAGTCAGGACTGACTCACTGTGATGCAAAATGAGACATTGCTAGGCAGAGGGCTACTGTACTCTAACCCACCCACCCATCCTGAGGCACCCAAGGAGTCAGACCAAGGGGTAACCAAAGGAGAACTAGTTTAATGCAACAGGTTTCAACAGTCTGTGGTTAGCTTATGTCCCAGAAAGCGTAGCCCAGGCCCTTCTGAGCTTACAGCAAGCTAAGGCCTGCAAAGATGGTGGCGCTGGCCATGACAACAGTCAGCATGGCTTGGCTATGGCTCCTCACACTGGCCCTGTCAGCCTGTTCTCGGAAGGACTCTCCTTTGAAGTTTGGTGCATTCAAATTGCATAAATTGCCCTTACAGCAGTTCACGTAGAAGAAAGGCATGGGCTTTTCGATTAAAAAGGACTTGTGGTCGAGTATTGGCATCACATACGGACAAAACATGGAACACTGCTTTGAAACGTAGAAGAAACGTGACAATATTTCTAACAGGAAAGAAAAAGAAAGAAATCGAGTGAGTTCAGAGCCCTATGCCAGCACCTTTGTGGCTGTCAAGTCTAAGCCTGCACCTCTGGGGACCCTTGTCAGAGGCTCCCACTCAATAAGGCACCCGCAGGAAGGCATGAGCCATGGCTCAGATGCAAGAAGGGCAGCTTCCCTCTCAGCTGCTTCAGGGAGGGTAGCCTGGGTGCAGCATGGCCTCGAATGCCTGCCTCTGTCCTGTCCACGTGTGCGCCAGTGGCACACACGCTCCTGTGCCTCAGCTCTTAAACACAGGCTTGCTCAAGCCTTTTGTTTGTCCAGACACTTGGGTTGAAGGCTTCCCAGCGATCCTGGCATTGCCTACAGCTGGAGCTGGCCCTGAGTGGGCCTGGCCCAGCTCTGGGCAGGCGCCGGTCTCAGTACTTGACCTTGTCTTCTCCTTTGTGCACATCATTTCCCACATTAAAGTGAACTGCCTGACCACTGCTTCATCACCCCACAAACTTCCCGGAATGCAGAGGCCCCAGGGAATAACCTGAGAACCAAAACTGAATCCCCAAGCCCCAAAAATACCACTGTGGGGAGAATGTTGCAGGTTTTCTGATTTAGCTTTGGAGAGCTCTTGGTGTGCCCAGAATCTTGGGTGAACTACAGATGTCAGCAACTTGGTCTGCAAACATCATAAAGCATGCACACTCTTTGGAGAGCATGCAGTGAGCCTGTACTGTTGTTTCACTCATCTCTGACATACTGTTTTCAGTGAGGCACTTGTCGTCATTAGAGCCTAATTTTTCATTTAAAAACAAATTAAAAAATCACTATTTTCTCCTGGTACTCCAATATTTCACTGTGACCAACTGCCTGTGTTTGCCACCCTACCCTAACCCCATGCCATTCAACGCTGCTTCACTGGCACTCACCACTTGTCAGGCTTTGTTTGCTCTTCAACTGCTGCTGTCCCAATCCTGGGGACTGAACCCGGCCACTTGTGCGTACTAGACAAGCGGTCCACCACTGAACTCAACCCCTAGCCCTTGAGGGCTTTTTAAAAGGCCATGCTTCGCTTATTTTTCTCTATGGAGGCAGACCAGAGGGCTCCTAATTCCTGAGACTCTTCAGGGCTCTGGGGGGACCTGGACCTGAACAGAGACACTTACTGACTGCCACAAGATTACAGTATGTGACATTTTCTTCACATTCCTGTTCATTGGTGCAGCCAAAATCATTCTCTTTCTCACAAACGTGACATCTCAAATTCTCTGAAATGAGGAACAAAGCAAAAAAAGTAGATCATCACAGTTCTCCTCCTGTCAGAGAAACCCCTCTGTCCTCCCAGCCCCATGGCCCACACTCACTGCCTAGTTCTCCTCCCTCTGTGGCCCCGCACTCACTCACTCAATGTGTCACCCACTGGGTCCCTCACGCACAATGGGCGCATGCGTGTCCTCACTGAGCGTGCCCGCACTGAGCGGCCTTCCTGGCACACTCTCCTCGGCCTGGGCCTCAGGCCAGCCCGGGCTGGAGAGTGCCCGGTGCGGGAGCGCCGACCCGCTCGGGGGAGGCCAGGTCGCTCTGGCCACTGACTCGTGCTTGCAGACGCCGCTTGGAGCCTGCGAGCACACGGCGTCGGCCCGGCCACGCTGCTCGCTGGGGACCCGCTGGGGACCCGCTGGGGACCGCGAGGCGCCCTCCCGCCCTCGCAGCTCCTGGGATTCGCGGCCAGCCACCGCCCGCGCTGCCTCCCTTCACGGCGCCCGCGCGGCCTCACCTTGCCGCCTGGTCCTGTTGCTAGTCAGCACCTGAGGCAGCTCCAAGGCCAGCAGCAAGGTCAGCAGCAAGGCCAGCAGGGCCACCACCTGCAGCGGGCGCCCAGCCCTGCGGGGAGCGAGCGGCGTTCAGCCCGGCCGCACCTGCCCCGGGACCAGCCACCCGGCCACCTTCCGCCCGCGCCGCCCGCCGCCCTCGGCTCGGACCCCAGCGACCCGGCCCACCCGCGGCCACTTCCCGCCCTGAGCCCCCCCCCGCCCCCCCGGCCCCGCCCCGCCCCAGCCCCACGCCAGCCCCCTCCCCCGGCCCGCGCTTGTCCCCGCCAGCGCCCACCCGTCCATGGCGTGTCCGTGTGCAGGCGCGACCGTCGGGGCGCCCTCCTCCCTGCTCTGCGCGTGCTCGCTCCTCTCAGCGCCCCCTCCTGGGCGCCACCGGGGCTCCTTCGGGAAAGTTCCCGGCTGCGCCGCCGACTGTCTGCGCGGGGTCCGACCAGCGGGGGGCCCGGGTGGGGGTGGGGCGGGCGTGGCCGCGCCCTGAGCTCCTCCCGCGCCGCCACCTGCGCAGCTGCCAGTGCCCCCTTCGCCGTGGGGAGCTGGGACTGCCTTCCTGGGGCGCCCTGCAGCCGTGCCCGCTGCTGGAGCCGAAGGGTGTGCCTCTCCTGGGTGTCAGAACCTCACTGAGTAACTGTGAATTCACAGGCTGCACCACTGACAGCCTCGCAGTTCCGCGTACCCGTGGGCCGTCGGGTAGTCCTCGTGGCGAGGCAAACAAGCTGTTTCATTCCAGTCTTAATTAAGGCAGTTTCAGAGTGTCCTGGAGGTGTAAGTTTGGAGTCATTGTGTCACAGCAGGAGAATCTAGGCTGTGCTGAATGCGGCCCCAAGGGACAGGAATGGAGGAGCCTTGTCCTGGTCAAGGTTCGTGACAAGTGATGAGGTGGTGGCAGCAGGGTGCCACTGTGTCCATCCTGTGTCCAGGGGGGTCTGGGGTTCCTTTTACAGGTCTCAGGTGAGGACATTCCATTTGGTGAGGTTGATAAGCTGCTGTGTCTGGTGTTTCTGATATAGTCTTGGGTGTCCATGTGTCCATGTGCTCCAGATTTAGGGTTTTTTTTTTTAATAAATAGTTTTTAGTTGTAGATGGACACACTGTCTTCATTTTATCTATTTTTATGTGGTGCTGAGGATCACACCCATTCCTTCACACGTGCAAGGCAAGTACTCTACCACTGAGCCCCAGCCCCAGCCCTAGATACAGTTTTTTGGTAGGTTGTCTCCGGTGTCTCCATTTATCAGTTTGTGCCTTATGATTGTGTCAGGCCTGTGAGGGTCGCTCAGTTGTACAGATAAGGTGCAGAGTAGTCTAGCTGCACTTGTAATCAAAACAGAGTAGCTTATGGCAATCTGCTGCTTTGCAAAATGAAGGATTAAAGGCTTAGGCACAGCCTGAAAACTGCTTTTCTACACATCGTGGAGTAACTCAGGGCACAGCCTGCTCTCCACCCCTGACTGCTCTCAGCTTCTCTCTCCACTTGATGGGGTGATGTCAGAGCCAGAGTGTGTCCTGACCCAGGTGAGTGCAAGAGCTGGCAGGCAGTAGGTCCCATGTCCTGGGGCCACCCCCGGTGGTGCAGGAAAGGTCCCTTCCCCTCTTCTCACTGAGCCCTCCCAGATGGAATGCAGGCTGATGGTGGACAGGTCTTGATTCCCCCTCCTCCTGCCCACAGTGCTTCCTTTCCTCCACCTTTTGTGCAGACACTCCAGTAGCACAAGGAGACTGTGTTTTTTTAATAATTTTTTAAAAAATATTTTTCAGTTGTAGATGGACACGATACCTTTATTTTATTTTTATGTGGTGCTGAGGATTGAACCCAGTGCCTCACCCGTGCCAGGTGAGTGCTCTACCACTGAGCCACAACCCCAGCTCCTAGAATTGTTTTATAGGTGCGTACCGTTCTGTGGTCTGGACCCACCAAGGTAGATTCAGATAGCCTCCTTTAATGAACGTCTGTGTGGTTGTGCAGAGTTTCTCTATCGTACCCAGCACAGCACTGCCTCAGTGTTCTTCCTTCATGCGAGTGTGGGTGGGAAGGGCACACGCCTCAGGATGAGACAGTTGGTCAAATTCAAGTGTATCTCAGCTCAGGTGAGTGTTGCCCTGTTGCTGCTTCTGGTCAGTGGCTGTGCACGTGGGTGCTGCGCATTCTGAGCATCCTTTCCCCACAGGTCCTCAGAGTCAGTGCCCCAGATTCCTATCACAGCTGCACAGATTTCCAGCTGACCTTCAGACGGATGAGCAATGCCCAGAGCTCTGCCATCCTTAGCAGAGGGCTCCCTGGGAAGCCTGTGCACTGCAGCCACACCATTTCCTGTGCCGAAGCCGGGAGGGGATCCAGGGGACTACATTCCTGAAGACTAAGCTAGAGCCTGGGTGGGTGGGATTTTCCTTGGGAGCATGGACTCTCAAGAACCTAGTGCCAGGGAGCAGACACGAGGCCTGGAAACCCCGCACAGTTGAAGCAGGCTGCTCCGTGCCTCGTCTCCTGAGGAAGAGTAGAACAGGGGTCTCCCTAGAACCGAGTCACCCAGGCTTTTCCACAGCTGGCCTACAACAGAGACTCCAAACCCCAAGCAGGAAAGGCAGAGGCAAGGCCATGGTCATCTCATCCCCAGAAGTGTGGTAAGAGCCCACAGAGCCAAAAATGAAGGGGACATGGCCTCCCATCAGACCAGAGCTCTCTGCTGGCAGGGAAGGGAGACAGTACAAATGTGGGACAGTCAGAGGAACAAACGGGAATAACTACCAGGACAAAAGAAGACACAAAGTCCGACCACTGAGGAGTTCAGTGGGAATTACCAGACGCAAGTCGAGGCCCACGGGCTTCAAAGCCAGAGGGAAACACGCCCCTCCTGCACCCAGGGTGGAGGCGCCAGCCTGTGCCACCCATGACCGAGGCTGTGACCAGGAGGGAAATGAGCAAAGGGAAAGTGCCCCATGCGAAGGCTGTGGACAGCTGTGGAAGGAGGTCCTGCAGGAAGGAGGCTTCCAAGGAGGAGGGGCTTCCTCTCCAGATCCCTGCGTCAGCTCCAATGGCAGGCTGCAGAAGAGGGGCTCCGGGGACACAAACCGGAACGGAGCAAGCCCCCTAGGCTCCAGGGGCCAGGTGGTCTGGAGTCTCCGGGGATCTGAGCTGGACTCCACGGACAGCTTCCCAGGGCTGCTGGGAGGGACCAAGGTCGGGGAGGCAAGGCACATTGCCTGCAGTTTGGTGGAACCTGGGTGTCACAGTGGCCAGAGGAAGGATCCTGTGTGTTCACACTGCTGGTCCCTGCCCAAAGCCAGTGGCCAGAAAAGGACAGGTGTGCAGGGTGAGGCCAGGGAGCTCAGCCAAGGCAGAGGAAGGGCGAGCTTGGGGGCAGGCCACTCCTTTGACAGAAAACTCCACAAGCCAGCTCTCCCACCTCTCTGCATGAGGCCCAGACACAAAATCCCAGGAACTCACAACTCACTGCTGCTCAAGGAAGAGAGATGGGGGCCCTGGGGCTGCTTCAGGCTTTGCCCACCTGACCAGGGCTGATCCTTGGGGGGCACTCAGTGACTGAGGGGTGGGGGCTGTGAGGAAAGGCCTCAAGGTTGAGGAAACCCTGAAGGGAGGAACTCAAGGCCCATGGACTGGGGACCCTGAGGGGGCTTCCAGGTCAAGGGTTCCTGGACCCTGAGGGAGGGGCTAAAGGACAGAGGCCAAGGGGTCAAAGACCCTGAACCTACAGGGAGGGTCCTGAGTCAAGGGCTCCTGGAGTCTGGGGAGGGTATTGAGGTTGAGGGGTCAGGGGTCGTGAGGGAGGTCTCCCAAAGGAGGATGGAGCCAGAACAGGGCTGCCTGCACCTGTGTCACCCCCAGCAGAGGGCCCTGTCATCAGCATAGACCACACTCGTTCCTGTCTTTCCACAAGGTCAGGATTTGCTGAATGACAGTCAAGTCACAGGCCGCACCACTCAGCGGGGGCAGATCACCTGGTGGTCATCAGCCAGGCAATCACAGGTTCTTATCCCAATCTTCGTTGCCAGTATCTGTGGCACTCAAGTCGCACATCACACTTCACACAGAGACACACATAAGAAGGGGTCAAGGCAGCCACAGGGTCAGGGAGACTGAAGTGAGAGCAAAGGCGGAGTCCCTGCAGGTGGTCAGGTGAGATCAGGAACCAGCTGAAGAGCTTGTTCAGGGTGCAGAGCTGTCAGGGCACGGGAGCTATTCTGGGTCCCCAGGGGTTGAGAGTGTCAGAGCGTCACCCTGGATGGTCAGCTTGGGGTGTCAGCCTGGACATGCTCATCACCGGCAGGAGAAACCGCACTCTGCTAAAGCCCAAGGGCAGGGATTTGGAGGTTCTTTGTGATTTTCCTGGGCCAGGCTGGTGACGAGTGACCAGGGGATGGGGCCAGGGTGCCATGGTGTCCAGTCACAGGGTGCCCTTCTTCTGATGGACCTGGAGTGAGGGGGGTGCTGCATGGGGAGCTCTCGGGCCTGGTTTTCCCCCTGAGTTTGCGAGGCGCGTGCGCCTGTGCTTCTGGTGAGCAGACAAGTTCCCGGGTCGCTCCTAGCAGCCCGACTGATTTATCCGTCTGTGCCTCACGGTGGTTGTGCCTGGCAGATGGTGGTGTTGACTGGTACAAAGAAGGTGTGGAGCATTGCCCCTCAGCCCTGAAACTCTGCATGGAGGGCCCAGGGCCGGCTGCTGCTTTATAACCAGGGCAGCCCAGGTTCAGGCACAGCCTGAGAACCGCTGCTCCGTCCGTGGTGGAGCCGCTCAGAGCAGAGCACAGCCTGGTCTCCAAACTTGGTCAGGAAGGCTGGGGAGGAACTGTGTGGCCACATGCAGAAGGAGGAATACAGGGACCTGGATAAAGGGTTCCAGTGGGACAACACTGGAACAGGAGGAAGTTGCAGAGGAGACAGCAATCTGGGCCTGGAAGGTTAAGAAAGCCTGGTGTGACTTCTCAGTGGGAAGGTTCCAGAGGTAGGTGGTGAATTCTGGGCAGGAAGGTTCCAGAATCCCCCCCCCCCCATTCCTGTGGGAAGGTTCCAGAAGTTGGGTGGTGACATCAGGGCAGAGAAGTTCCAGAAAGAAACACAACCTCCATCGGGAAGGTGGCTGGGCCAGGTGGGGTTCTGGTGAGGCCCTAGGATGCCACAGGGCAGCATGGGTCTGTGCAGCCCTGGTCCTGGAGGGTCCTGAAGAGCTTGGGCAGCTGACTTGCTCCCACCTGATACCCTGACCCTGCAGACCCTGACCCTCCTGACACCCTCCTCCCTTGGACCCTCCTCCTGACATCCCTTTTCCAGGGGATGATATCCCTTCCTCCTCTTGACCCTTCCCCTCCCCTCCTTCTCCTCAGACCCCCAACTCCAGTCCGCAGTCTTTAAGTACCCCTGTGTCCAGAGTGGCACGATTAATAATTACTTGGAGGCGGATTGTCTTTGAGTGCAAATCTGTATGTTATCACACCAATCATCAAACACAAACAATTAATGCAAAAAGTGCTGGGTGTGCAGAAGCAGCCCAAGTAGCATTCGGTGCTCACTGATGAAACAGATGAGCAAACCACACAATCCCAGGGCAGCCACGAGCCCCAGAGCACCTCCAATGCCACACGACTTCTCTTAGCCAAAGAGCAGACATTGTTGTCTGGTAGTTCTCTCCAGCAGATGGTTGGACATCAGGAATGGGGGAGTCGATCTGGGGACAGAAAGCAAGGTGGCACTCTCCCTGATGTCCTTAGAGCAAAGCTTTCTGATGTGGAGAACAAGTGGTGTATAGACATTCCAAGATGGTGCTCATTGTCATCACACTCCAGCACTGTCCTGCTGTCTCTAGATGAAGGTCCTTATCAATTGTACCCAATCCCGACAAAGCCTGCCCGTGGCTGCTGTTCCTGCCAGCATGTCTGTGGTCCTGTCCCACGGACCCTGTCCTGGTCTCCAGAGCTCTCCTGCCAGCCCACCCTTTCTGAAGGGTTATGGAAAATAATATTCCTATAAGACAGTCCCCCAGGAAAAACCGAGGGACAGTGTGGCTTGTGAGGAGGGAGGGAAGTTAGCCAGACATTCAACCTCTCCCAGCAGTACATCCTTTCCCGGTAACAAGGGCCCCTAGAGGAAAAGCAAACCTGGATCCTTCCTGGGCTCATCCCCAGCAAAAGCAAACATTCACCCCTTCCCAGGCCCAGAGGGTCCTGAAGGCAGGTGGCAAATACTGAAATGCTGTGCCCTGGACTTTGCCCCTTTCCCATTGCGGATGAGTCCTGAAGGAGAAAAGGAACAGTGACCCTCTAGGTAACCGTGGGTCCCAGAGGAAGGAGGATAAGCAGTGAACACAGCTCTGAGCTTTTCCCAGTGACAGTGAGTTTCAGACTTTTCACAGCTGCTTTCCTGAGTTAAGATCTTAACCTGAACCACGAGGTCCCCAAGTGTCCAGACAGCATGCTCGCAGTGTCCAGCGATTAATTCACCCTCACCATAAACTCTAAAGCCTAGACTCCTTCTCTTACCTGGGGGCCATTCCTATACCCAGAAAATGAGCCCTCCCGTGCCTGATGGATTGACTTCACTGCAGACAGGAAAGCGAGCTGATCTGCTTGGGGTCTGCCTCTGTCCCAATTATATGTATTCTCATCATGGTGCCAAACTGTGTAGGATATTCTTGTCCACACTGTCCGCTCCCAAGGTCGCGCCCTATCTCCTGTAGGACCTCCCCTCCTGTCCTCTCCCGGGCCCCATCCAGGCTCTTCTGGTTCCTTCCGACCCTCCTCTCAGAAACCCCGACCTGCCCAGGGCCCTGGACCCACACAGGGGTCCACACTCTCGTCCTGTAGACCTGGGGTCCCCGAGACCCCTTTGAGCAGATGCTCTCAGTGTTCCCATGTGTCACCTCAGAGACACTTTTGTCCCGAGACCCTCCTTCAGGATTGAGCCCACGTTCTCATGGCTTCTCCCTGTCACCCCTGCTCTCTTAGTCTCACCCCTTTGTCCTTTAGTCCCTTCCCTTAGTGGGCAAAGGCCCCTCCTCCTGGAGCCCTACCCACAGGACCTTCTGCTCCTGACCTCGGCCTCCTCTCCTGTGGCCCGAATCATCCTGCATCTCCAAAAGCCTCGACTTCTCAGTGGCCCCCGATCTTTCCCCTTCCCCTTCCTGGCTCACTGTGTGGGTCCACTGATGACTGCTCAAGGGGGAACTGGACCAGGTTCCCCACCTGCCCTGGTCCACAAGCATGCCTCTGAGCCTGCTCTTCCCTCTGGGCCCTTGAGGCTGCTGAGGCCAGCTCTGAGTCTCTCCTGCTGTCACCACCAGCCTGGGCACAGCAGCATGCCTTCCGCTGGGCATGATCTGGGGCCACCTATTATTTGAAGTGTCCCCTTCAATTCCAAGCAGGAGGAAGTCCTAGTTCTCCTTTGGTGAGCAACTTCTGGCTTCCTGTAGCTGAAGTCAGAAAGTGGCCTCAGGGCTCCACCGTCGCTTTCTGCTGTCACCAGCCTGCCTTTTGACCTCTGTGATCCTTTGGGCCTGGAAGCTGGCCCCAGCCACTCCTCTGCATTCTGAAGCCTCCTCCGCTTTGGGCTCTGGCTGTCTTTGGGGGTCCTGGTAAAGGAGTCAGATCTCAAGATCTCCCGTAGCGGGTCTCCCGGGAGCGCCGCCCCTCACTCCTGCTGGGTCGCGGTCTCCATCTGGCCTTCGCTTTTGAAGTCTGTTTGCCCTGGCACACTCTGGCGTGCTTGCTCAGCACTTGCCGGTCTGTGTGGGCAGGCCAGCCACCACTTGAATTATTGCTGTTGGAGACGCTGCCTTTCCTTTTCTCCCGCGGCCCCTCACGTTTTCCGGTAGTTTTCGGTGGTCTGTGTGTGAGGTGTCTGAGACTGGGTTTCCTTGGACTTCCTCGGCTGTGGATCCGCTGGCCCTTTTTAAGTTTGTGGGGTGATGCTTTTCACTGCTCTTGGGACATTTCGGTACCAGTGGTCCTTCAAACGCTTGCTCCCTCCATGTGTGTCTTCTCCTTGTGCAGATCCAGTTGCGGGTGGGCCGCACAGCTGACTCACATGGATGCAGCTCCTCTTTCAGCTGCTATGCACTTTGGCCTTTCTCTCTTTCTGGGTAGCGTGTGGACATTTTCCGTAGGCCTCATCACGTTTGTTGTTTCCTCTTGCCGAGTCCAGTTGGCTGTTAATGGCGTCCAGGTGAATTTTTAAATTTCAAATATTTTGCTTTTCTTGGTTCAGGAATATCCATTTGATTCTTCTGATAGGTTCCGGTTCTGTGGGGAGGGGGCCTGTGAGGAAGGCGGGAGACTCCTGTGGTGGTTGATGCTGGGGGCGTGAAGTGGAGCAGGGAGCCGGCTTCTCGCTGACTGGCTGTGGGTCTCTTCACTTTCAGGTCCAAGCTCCTGCCCTATATGATGCTCCCCTTGTTCCTGCTCCTCTTTGTGGGGCTCCCACTTGTGGAATCCCATTTTACCAACGTGACCAAAGCCGTTCCAGCTGCTTGTAAGTATCATCTTTTCTGAGACATGGAGGGCATATGGATTCTCCTCGAGTTGCCCGGGGTCCCAGGAGGACGTGGCAGGAATTTGGCCATCTGAGCTAGCTGTGGTGTGCATTGTCAGTGTTGTTGGGAAGAACTGAGGGTCAATTGGGCTGTGTTTGTGTGCAGGGGAGAGAAAGGAGGAAGGATGGCTTCCCTCAAAGAGCAGCTGACCTGGAGACCTGAGGGGGAGCTTGGAGGTGACCCTTGCCCATTAGGGACAGCAGGAGAGGACAGCAGTGTCCAGGGAAATCCAGGAACATGCTGGCTTCTTAGGGGAGCGTCCAGACTTCCTTGGAGAGGTGGGCCCCTCTGCAGAGCTCATGGTCCCCGCATGTCTTCCTGAGAAGAGGGAAAGCTCCTAGGTTGGCCTGGCTTCCCTCCTGGGAGCAGGTCTTGGCCAGACTGGGACTGCACTGAGACCAAGCTGTGCAGGCTCAGGCAAGTCTTTGGGAGAGAGGGCAGGGCCAGCTACTGCATGGGGAAGACGAGATGGTAATGGGTGGAAGGATACGTTGGGGCAGAAGCCCAAGGCCTGCTTTCCCTCCCTCAGGGACCTTCAACGTGCAGTGCCATGAATGTGTGGCTGAAAACACGTTTGATTGCCCGAGGCTCAGGACGTGCTTATACGACCATAGACGCTGTATGACCGTAGCTGCACGTAAGTGTCCCTGTGCTCTTTTCACACCTGTGGCCCATCGTCTAGCTTGAGCGGTTTTGGGGGTGGAGTGTGTATGGTTCTCTTTCTGCACCCTGACCTACTTCCTTCCCCTGGTATCTCCCCGCCCTGAGGACTGATTCCCAGGTCCTGCCATACCTCACGTAGGGCACTGTGCACCAGCTTGTGCGGTCAGCTGAGGGGAGGGGGAGCAGAGTCCACACCTGCCGTGTCTTCAACGGTAGGAATGTTGCTGGACCTACAGGTCTCTCGCTTGGGTCTCCCTGCTCATGTATGTAGATACCTCAGTGTAGCCTGGTTGATCGTCATTTGAATTCTGGTCATGTGCCGGGTGTGGGGCGGGGGGGGGTTGTCCAGCTGTCCAAGTCCGAGCAGCAGATGTGCTTCGACCCCTCAGGGCCACGCCGGTAACACTGTCACACACAGATGGTGTCAGGGCAACGCTGGCCCCCCAAAGTGTTCTTGCTTCTTCCTTGCAGGCCTCTAGTGCTGTGAGGCAGGTGTGCGTCTCCCCAGGGCGTTACTGTGAAGACCCATGTGGCCAGAGGCTCAGGGACCCAGAGGCAGGCAGTCTGTGGGGTTGTGACAGACAGCTGGAGGTCTTGTCTGGGCCCTGTTCAGGACCCTTCCTCTGGTTGCTGTCTTCCCCGACCTGAGTTTGTTTCTGCAGCTTCAGGTGCCTTTCTGTTTCCCGAGCTGGGTGTAAAGACCTCCAGACTGCCCCGTCTTCACTGGACCAAGTGCCCTCACGCTGTGGTGATGTGCTGAGTTGGGACAGCAGGAGGCTGAGAATCTGGCTCTGTCACCGTGGTGGGCCACTGGTGGGGACCTTGATGGGTTGTGTGTTGTCATTTCTCAACTATTGTTGCAAGTGAGACTGGCTGATGCTTTCTGAGGATCTGCATCCCGGTGTGGCTGCATTAGAGCTGGCAAAGGGAGAAACCTGAATGACATTTGTAAGGGTGGAGTGAAGCAGGGACCAGTAGTCTGCGCAGGCATGGTGGCCTTCTACAGCGCTTGACCTGGTTTGAGTCAACTTCCTGTCATTGTAGCCTATACCTCACATAATCATAAGGACGCAGGTTTGTTTGGGTTCACAGGTTTATAGGTTTCAGTCCATGACTGGTTGAGCCTGGGGCTGAGCCTCATGGAGCAGGTGGAGGACCAGAACTGCACACTTCATTGCCGGGAAGTTCATTGTGTGTATGCGCACACAAACATACACACACACACACAACATAAAACTAACCATCCCCCACCACCACCACCACAACAATAAAACAAAAACCCAGGAGAAGGAGAGGCCTGGGGCCCAATCCCCCCTTAAGGGGCATGCCACATCAACACAGGCCATGGTGTTAACAGCAGAGAAGTCACTGGTTATAAGTAGAGAATGGTTTCTGGTCTTCCTTACTTTCTAGAGCTCTAGAACACTTAGAAAAAAAGTGAGCAGAAGATTTAACTTGTATATCTACATGCAAAGTACCAAGATGCCATTTGAAGGGCCAATGGCAGCCTGGCCATGGAGAGAAAAATACCTTTAGAAGAAGTTTCTTGTGAACCAATCAGATCCTCTTGACACTGAATATTCTCTCTTGGTCTCAAATTCTTGGCAACACAATGTTGGAACATTTGGGAATGTAGTGTGTATGTACAGTCCTGTCATGTTGAATGTGCTCTGTGTACGTCAGATCATGTGAATGCAAAAATTTCCAACACTTCTTCTTTTCATGTTTGAACACTCATAAATTACTCATGTTCAAGAATTGTACTTTGAACTGCGTGTTGTATATGAAGTAGATCAGCTGCCAAAAAGTCCACCACAATCCAGAGGATTAACAGCTTCTATTTATTCAATGTTGTAGCGGGATGACATGCAATTTTGGAGAACCTTCTAACGTGAAGAAGGACTCACTGGCGAGGAAATAATTGAGGAGGATCTACCAGAAGGGTCTGCATATTTGGGGAAACCAAAATTCTTCTTGAGCTTTGCTTCCATCATCGTCAGTAATACACTGACTTGAGATGGCCTCTTGGAGTCCATTCATCTTCCCCTGTTGCTGAGAATGCTGCTGTTCTCTCTTGGAGACGCTGATGTGTCAGGCCTCCCGTCGGCCCCTTCATGCCTTGTTGTAAGAGCAAAATAAAGGAAAATGCTGTTGGTTGGAAACGTGCCTGAATGCTGGTTTCCTTCTGCAGTGAGGCTGCTGCTCTTTTCTGCCTCCCTGCAAATTCAGGAATTCCTCTGTGTTTCATCAGGTGAGCTGCTTTTGTTCCTCTAGGCACTTCTTATGCTCCGTAACTTTAGTGAGATGTAATCACACACCATGCAACCCACCAATTCTGTGTAGAATTGAGGAATGTTTTGTACATTCACAGATTCACCAGTCATCACCACAGTCCAGTTTGGCACACTTATGTGACCTCAAAAATAAACCCCACACCCATTACCCACCCAGGCCACCAGTGCTGCCTGTTTTCTATCTATGGGTTTCCAATCCTGACATGTGCTAGGAATGGAGTTTATAACGTGTGACATTGTGTCACCCACTTCTTCCAGTGAGCATGGTGTTTTCAGGGCTCACCCATGCAGATGTGCTACTTCTTCACTTTTATGCCTGAGTCATGTCTCACTGGATGAATGCCACACGTATTTTGTGGATCCCTTCGTCAGCTGATGGACACTGGAGTTTCTGCATCTTTGTAACATTGCCATCAACAGCTACAGAAGCTCTCATGGGACTTTGGGCCCTCTGGGTATATGCCTAGGGTGAAAATGTAGGGTCTGCTGGGACCTCCACATATGCTCCTGGAGGAATAGCAAGGCAGTTTCCCAAAGTGGCTGTGCCACTGCTCCGTTCCGCCCACAGGGGAAGAGATATCAGCACTTGTTATCTCACTTTTGAATCCAGAAACTGACACTAGTGACATGACCAGTTACATCCTGTTCAGACTCAGATTTCTCACCTCGCCAATGGGAATGTGCAGGGTTTAGCCACCAAGGGCATATTGCACTAGGCACTACATGGTGATGCTCCATGGTGATGGGTGTGCAGAGCTATCTCACTCATGAGCTGCTGCGGAATGGAGGCCAAACATGAGGTCAACCTGGTACCTCAGATGCTGGGTTCCTCCTCCTGTCTCTCAAACCAGGCACATACATTAAGGGGGAGGTGGTATAGGAGGAGAGGGAAAATGGGGCTGCACAGGAAGCCAATAGGGGTAGGCATCATCAGAGGCCGCTGGATGGCCAGGAGGAGCAGGAGCTGCTGCCAGGCGGGCTGCGGAACATGTCCCAGCAGACTGCTCGGTGAGGCTGGCAACAAAGCCTGGACTTGCCACCAAGATCCTCCTCAGTGCGTCCTGGCTTTGCTGCACAGCTCGGCAAGCCCTGTCCTGCCTTGGGGCTTGGGCCAGTCCACTGGGCCAGGAGCTGGCTGGACCGCGTGGGGGCAAGGAAGCAGAGCCCTTAAGACAGAAGAGAGGTGGGCTGGGGTCAAGGCAGAGGGAGGCTGGTGGTGGGGCGCAGTGCGCAGATGTGACTAGTTGACAGGCCGAAAAGTGAGGAGGGGAGAGGAGGCGGGTCTCAAAACAAAGTGGTACACCATCTTCACATCCTCTTGGACTAGTGTCTCCACCTGGAAGGATTTCAGCACCTAGGAGAGAGGCGGGACTTGCCTGTGGCCTGGGCAGCAGGCTCAGGTCCTGGCCAGCCTCCTGACCAGCTGCTCAGAGCAGCCACCACGCTGCAGAGAGCAGGAGCCAGCGCACCCAGGCTGGGGGGGGTAGTGGGCACAGGACCCGCCCTCAGGGAAGGCACCGCCCCATCACGCACGCACCCCCGAGTGGTGAGGGTTGGGGGCTGCTCACCCCGCACCACCACCCGCTGGCCCCTCCTGGTCCCGCTCACCCCCACGCACCACTGACGCCCTTCTGCTGAGCCCCTCCCAGGCCCACTCACGTGGTGCAGCAGAAGCAGCATCTCCACCTCTGCCAAGCGCCGGCCCAGACACTGGCGCACCCCGAAGCCAAAGGCCAGATGGCGGAAGTGCAGTTGGCTGTCCAGCCAGCGTTGGGGGATGTAGCGCTCAGGATTCGGGAACAGCGCAGGGTTTCGGCCCATTGGGTACAGATGCATGTGGACCAAGGTCTGCAGACACATGCGCAGGGAGGTGTCAGCTGCCTAGTGAGGGGATGTGGGAAGGGGCCATCTGCTGGGGTGGCCTTCGGGGCTCACTCACCCCAGCTGGGATGTGGTAGTTCTGAAGCACCAGATCTGAGCTTGTGATTCGCTCCAAAATGCTTCCTACAGGGTAGAGCCTGGGGGTAGGACACCAACAGGCAGGGCCTCAGGGGGACAGCTCCCTCCTCTTCCCTCTGTCTGCTGCCCACCCAGGACCCCCGAGGGTGCGGCAGCCCTGGTCACAGGATGTGCTTGCTGGCACCTGCTAGGCTCAGTGAGTCCCCAGCAGCCTGAGCAGCCAGGCCCAGGAGGACATGGCCGGTCATGCATGGGACTTGGGAGTGCAGTCCCAGGGGAGAGGAGCACCCCTGGCTTCAGGCAGAGCAGGAGGAGCTAAGGGGTTCTGGGTTCTGAGGCAAAGCTGCTCATGCCTGCCTCCCACCTCCAGTGAGCAGAGGGGCCAGGGCAGGTGGGGAGGGTCAGCCGGCACCTACCGCAAGGTCTCCTTGAGGGCAGCCCGCAGCAGGGGCAGCTCTGAGGGGGCCCTCTGGGGGTTTGCAGAGATGCTGGCCTCTGCTGCCAGGCTCTCCTGGCGTAGGGCCTCCTGCACATTGGGGTTCCGAGCCAGCTCAAAGAGCGTCATCACCAAGGGGAAGGCTGTCTGCAGGAGCCATGGGGGCAAGGCTCAGACCACGGCACTGGCCATGCGCCCCAGCCCCAGGGCACCCCTCCACGAGAACACCCTCCCCTGGAGCGGAAGGGCATGCCCCGAGCAGCACAGAGCCCTGGCACCCCACAACTCAAGACACCCATGTCCCCTTGACTCCTGCCCTGAGTCCTGAGGGAACGACCTCTCGGGGCCCAACCCAGGCCACCTCCTGCTGTTTCCTCAGGGTCTGATTGGCTCTCACACCCTGCTCTGTGGCCCTGAGGGGTGACCGTTCCAGGAGTCACAGGTGCTCTGCAGCCCTTGTCCGTCTGCTTGCAATGGCTGTCTGCCCGGCTGTGTTCAGACCCCTCTGACAAGCCTCACTGTCCCACCCTGAGCAGGCCTTCAGACCCCAGCCAGGTCCTCCTCCTGCATCATTCCTGGTACTCCAAACATATCTGCAGCCCCAGTTTGAGATCTGAGGCTCCATATCTCCAAAATGGCTCCTTCCAAGGTACCTCTACAGTGTCCTGAGCCTCAGAAATGAATATAGACATTTCTAGGGAGTCAGATGAATGTCACACACAATGTTGGGGTGAACTTAGGACTGACCGTGTCTACACTCCCTGCTGTGAGGTCAATAACGTTGGCCTTGATGGCATCTAGTGAGAAGTCCCCTTGCAAGATCAGGTTGAATGTGATACTGCCGACAGCCTCAGGGCAACCACGGACAAACTCCTGATGCACCTTCTGGATGCAGGTGTTGGCTGTGGGGAGACGAGAGGCCTCAGGCCTTAGTGCTGGGAAGGTCGGCTTCACTGTCAATCCTCCCACCAACCCAGCGCCGCCCCTCCCTGCTCCTCAGTGTTGTCTTAAGCCTGGCCACACCACCAACTCTGCAAGGCCACAAGGAAGGCGTGGCCCTTTTGTGTGGACTCCGTGTGGCTCTGGGTGGTGGTCAAAGGAAACCTGGATGACTGTCCTGCCCCGACCCACGGCCCTGCCTGGTCCAGCCCTTACCATACTCAGAGATGTAGTCCCAGGCCTGAAAGTGTTCCTGCCACACCTGGGAGCTCATCCAGCGGGACAGGCTCCTGGGCAGGAACATGAGCTGAGCAGTGGACTGGAACATGGCCTCCAGTGCATGAATGAACTTCAGGCTGCCAGCGTTCTGGTGTGGGCCAAAGAGGCCCAGCCGCTCTCCAAAAAGAGCGAAGTTGCTGGCTGCAGAGAGGATGGCAGCCCTGAACAAGGGCAGGCCTGGGCCTCAGCTGCGTCCTGCAGCACTCCACCCCACCCTGGCCACCTCAGAACCCTCGAGGCCAGGGGCTCCCCCAGCCCCACACCTTCGATGGTATAGTGGAAGATGCTAGTCTGGGCCTCCAGGGTCAGGCTCCCCCGGGAATTCTGCAGCGCCTTCTTCTTCAGGGCCTCGGAGAAGTCTCTTGCCACCACGTCCACCATGGGGATGAACTTCTGCGCGGCCTTTCCTGACAACACGACTGGATTCAGCCGCAGCCGGTTGAATCTCCATTCAGCTCCATTCCTGTAGGGCAGGCAAGGGCTTGAGAGGCATCCTCAAACATCCCACAGGTCCCCAACCTGTCTGCCATCTTCCTGGAACCCAAAGGGACTCAGTGGTTCCAAGGATGAAGGTGGGCCAAGGGCTAGGCAGCTGCATGTCCTGGCCTCACCTTATTCTCTCAGAGTGACCTTCCTGTGCTGGGCGATGGCCACGGAAGTCTGAAATGGGGATGAGGGCAGGTAGCCCTGGAGTGCTGGGAGGCCTGTGGGCTAATTCCTGGGAGCTGCCAGGCACACCCTGCGTCCATGTGGGCCCTGCCTGGGTGGCCAGGCTTTCTGCCAGGGTGGGGGGTGACCTGAGGTCAAGTTTGCCTGCCTGGCCCACACCATGCCTCAGATGGGAGAGGCCAGGCTGACTCCTCTCCTCCATGCCCTTCCCCATGGAGCTTGGAGAGTGGCACCTGCTTGCTCCCTGAAGTGTCCTTGTCTTCTGTAGTGCAGAGTCCAAACTGAATCTCCCACCACAGCCACCCACCACATCCCAAGCACATGGGGCCCCAGAGCTTCTGGTGCCAGTGGTGGGCAGGGCTTTGCAGCCTGAGCCACAATCAGGCACACACACCTTTCTCTTCCTAGGACAGTGCCTCCCATTCCTGATGATGAGAAACATAGGTACATGCCATGGCAACATGTGTGCCCACACAGACCTCAAACACATGTGTGAAGACACTCATGTCCAAGAGTATGCACAGTGCTGCATATAACCCTAATGGGCGCGTGTACGCGCACACACACACACACACACACACACACACACACACCTCCACCACTTCCTTCAGGGGCACTGGCTCTCGTTTCCCCCTGACCCGCCCTTCACATCTGGCCTCTGCATCAGATGCCCTCCATGGAGGGCCCGGCCCAGGACATTCACGTGCATATGCCCTGCCCTTCCCCAGAAAATCCACTTCCTGACACGGAGTGTGGGACTCTTCAGCCTGTGGTTCTTCTCAGCACTTCCTGCTCTTTATGGCAACCTCTTTGCAGCTGACCCACCCTAAGCCCCATCTTCTCCCCACTTCCCTGTGCACAGGAAGGAACTACCCCCTTGCTGTTGAGCTGGAAGCTCAGGGCCTTGCTGTTGAGCTAGAAGCTGCCTTGGACCTCCACCATCCACATCCCCAACCTCCTCCCCATCACTGTCTCCCCCAAAGTGAAGGCTGACTTGACCCAGGATGCAAGGGCCCTTGGGTGGTGGGACAGCCCTGGTGGACTTCAGATTCTGGCCCATGCTGCCCACGGCTTTGGTCCTGGGATTTCACATCTCTGGGCTGGTTTTCTGACCCACAGGAAGGAGAGCCACCCAGCAGCAGGAGGGGACCAAGGCCTAGGGCCGAGAGTGCTCCCTTCAGAGAGGGGCTCAGTGTTCCTTGTCTAGCCTGTACAGACCCCATGTGCCTTTCTCCCCCACTGCCTGCTCCCCTGCCCAGGACATCCATCACAGGAACCCATCCATGCTTACTACTGACACTCTCCACCCACCCGCAGAGCCCAGGACATGTGTCCTGTGGTCTGCTGGTCTGGCCTCCTCTCCAGGCTGCCCAGTGTCAATTCCACTTCCCAACCCAACCCACTGGTGCCTCACAGCAAGAATACACCCAGGGGCTTCTGTCCACGGTGCTCTCTGTAGACCATCCAGGGCTCCGGTGGCCTCCGCCAGGGCTGCAGGCTCTCCATCAGATGCAGCTTCTCAGCATCTTCAGGCAGCATCACAGATACTATCTGTGTTCTTCCCAAGTCATACCTTGGAACAGTGCACAAAGCCCTGCTGGATCCCACGTCCTCTCCTGGTGCCCCTCTGGAGACCAGTCAGACCTCACCCTTCTCCTGGACTTGAGCCTGCCCCACAGGAACTCCCCGAGCCTTCTGCCTGAGCCCTCTTCCCCTCTCAGCTTCCTCTGAGGCAAGCTTTCCTTGTGCACAGGAGGAGTCCTTGTCTCCACTGGCAAAGTCTCGGGACGGTAACCCACATGCCCCCTCCTGCCTTGTGGAGGGCGGAGACCACCCTCTTCCTAGGGAGCAGGAGCACCGTGTGCCTGGCGAGTGCCTGGGCAGCCAGCAGAGAAGGAGGTACTGGGCATCCTCAGCGAGGGGCTTGGCAGGGCTTTACCTGAAAATGGGTCCCAACTCCTGGAAAGCCCGGTGCATCTGCAGGTGCATGTTCTCCTGGCCCCGCTCCTTCCAGATCTGTAGCACCCTCAGCCACTTGTTGCCTGCACACTGGGGTATGGCTTCAAAGGGCAGCACTGCCTTGGCACACAGAGCTGCACTGGTGCCCAGGGCTCTCACCTTGCACGGGCACAGCCAGGACCCTGCCATCCACACACCGGCCTTTGACCTGAAAGCCATTGTGATGCTCCCTCCACCCCCGTTCAGCCCAGTCCTTTTTATCTCACCCAGGGGCCCTCTCTGGCCAAGGATCACGTCATGGAATAAATTGTCCCTGGACCTTCCTGAGAGATCTGGGGCACTCATAGCCAGGTTCCCAACCAGAGTTGGAGGAAGGAGATGGCCTGGTGCCTGTTCCCCATCTCTGCAAGGCTTCCTAGTGGGCTAGAGACTTGACTGGGTGCTAAAGGTAGGTGGGAGCAGTGGCCTGTCCCTTCCCTCTGCAGGTTGAAGGAGCAAGATGGATGGATCCTTTATCTAATGAATAGATTAGGAGTCCTTGGATTCTTTTAATAGACCTTATTTTTTAAAAATTTACTGTAATGAAAATAACCTCAGAACTGCAGAGCATATAAAAGCATTATGATTCTTTCTTGTCAAGTCTAAAAATATTTTATTTTGAAAGAAATGGAAACTTTCAGGTATTTTTTTTTTTTTGGAGACACAGGAAGAATACTGAAGGCATCCCAACAAATGTACTCACAATGCTTGCTAGTGCCACATAGGCTCATACCTCTCTTTTTCCTTCTCTGGGAATTATTTCATTCCTGGAGCAGAATGTCTCCAGACCAGACACTGAATGGGGTCCACACTGGTCCAATGGGGCAGCACAGAACCCTTACTTGAGGTTTCCCTCTCTCCACATCTCTAGAGCTCTTAGAATGCCAAGTGCTGCTTTTGCTCCAGTGGTAAGGAATGCCTAGTGCAGCCACAAGAGTTCCCACAGGAATAAGATGACAGAGAGAACTGGATCACTCAGAAACCCTGTTCATTCATGCTGTCACTGATTTAGGAAATAATAAGCATTCCATGTGCCAGAGCATAAGTACAATACTGGGTATGATGTGGGTATAATGTACACCATCTCTGTCCCTTGGAGTTCATACTGCAGGGTTATTACCAAACACTCGATCCTTGTCTCCAGTGCCAATAATGAGGACACCATTTGAAAAAAAAGGAAAGAAGTTTTATTGCAAAAAAGAAACACGGGGGACTTCTGTCCCTGGGGGAAACAGAGGGTTTTAAAAGAGATTCAAGGGCTACATTCCAGGTATGCCTTGACAGATGGGGGGAATGTTGAAATTCACTTGCTAATTTGGGAGAGGGAAAAGAAAACATGTCCCTTTTAAAGTAAGCCTCTGTGGCAGAGCAGCAAGGGCTATACTCAAAAGCTTGAGGTGGACCACTGTTCCAGGGATATTCAAACCATGCAGTTAGACCTAAGGAAGTGCGCCTGTAGGTAGAAGCACTTCCGGTGCTGTTGGAGCCTGTAACAGGAGAACTGGTTTTTTAGAGCAATTTTATGTCACCAAAAACTCAAACAGAAAGTACAGAGAAGACCCATAGAACCCTTGCCCCTGCACATGACAAGACACTCTGCACCCCAGAGATCTGCTGTCACACTTGGTCACCCTGAGAGATCACTGTCACTCGAAAGCCTCCGTTTGTTCACATTTGGGCGTGGTGTACATTCTGTCGGTTGACAAATGTAAACTGGCAGTGCCCACCTGGGCATCTTGGGGAAGCGTTCTTTGTCTTTACACCCTCTGTGTCCTGCCTGGTCACCCCTCTTCTCCACTGATCCTTGGTAACCACTGACCTTTCTACTCCCCCTACCCCCAGGGTTTCCTTCCAGAATGTCATAGAGTTGCAACCATACAGTCTGCTGCCTTCCTGGCTTAGCTTATTTCACTTAGTAATTCAAATTTAAGGTTCCTCCATGTCTTCCTGGCAGTCCATTTTTTTTTGGGGGGGGGGGGTACTTGGGATTGAACTCAGGGGCACTCGACCACTAAGCCACATCCCCAGTCCTATTCTGTATTAAGACAAGGTGTCACTGAGTTGCTCAGTGCCTCCCTGTTGCTAAGGCTGGCTTTGAACTCAGGATCCTCCTGCCTCAGCTTCCCAATGTGCTGGAATTACAGGCATGAGCCACCACACACAGTGGTCCAAATCTTTTGCACACTAAGTAATATTCCATTTTCGGCATATGCTGCCCTTTCTCCATTCACCTACTATAGAACATCTCCATTTCTTACAAGTTTTGCTAATTATGAATAGAGTCACCAGCAGGTTTTTGTGGGAATTTTGCTTTCAACTCACATGCATAAACATCAAAGGGCAAAATTGCTGGGTTGTATGGTAAGAGGGTAAATAATTTTGTCTTCCAAAGTGCTTTGACATTTTGCATTCTCACCAGCAATGAATGAGAGCTCCCCTTGCTCCACAGCTTTGCCAGCATTTGGTGGTGTCACTTTTTTTGATTTTGCCATTCTCTGAGCTGTGTAATGTCATCTTTTTGTTTAAATTTGCTATTCTCTAATGACACGTGTATTCTTATGTGTATTTTCCATCTGTACACCATCTTTTATGAGATGTCCGTTCAGATCTTTCGCCCACTTTGTGACGTGATCCTTTTCTTGTGGCTGAGTTCTGAGAACTCTTTGCATGCTTTTTTAGACAGCCCTTCGTGGGAGGTACCTGTGGCTAACATGTCCTCTCCTTCGCTCTTGGGTCCTGTGCAGAGCAGCAGCTTCTCCCTCGAGGCAGTGCTGCCTCTCCACCCTTTCCTTCATGGCGCATGCCTTTGCTGCTGGCCTGAAGTCATCACAAGTCATCAGGTTCTCCCCTGGGACATGTTCAAGGAGCTTCCTGTTTGCCATTTACATTTGGATCAACAGGTGGAATAAAGTTTTCTGAGGGGTGCAAGTTCTGTGTCTTGGTCCCCGTATCTTTGTGGTGTGAGGATGCCCACTCCATCCAGCACACTGATGTGCACACTGCGTTGCTTCTACTGCTTTGTCAAGGACCGACTCTCCATCCAGGCCTGAGTCTGTGGGAGAGCTTCCTCCTCCACTCGTTAACTCTATCAGTCTGGTTTTCTCGCGCACCATGCTGCCTTGGTTATTACAGCTTAACAGTACATCTTGATGACAAGTGTGTGGGTTCTCAGATGTTCTTTTCTTTCCCTACAGTGCTGGCCATTCTGGGTTTTTCTTATTATTATTAACTTTGGAATCAGTTAGTTGATATCCACAAAACAACACTCAGAGGTTTGGACTGAGATTGCTTCGAGCCTACAGATGAAGTTGGGAAGGACTGACATCGTGGTAACCCCCGGGCGTCTTCCTTCCCTGAGCATGGAGCACCTCTCCACTCGCTCCGGGCCTGCTTGACTCTCTTCACCAGAGCTCGTTTTCTTTATACAGGTCTTGTGCCTACTCTATTTTTAGGCCCAGGCATTTCATTTTTATGATCCCCAATGCATATAATATTGTGTTTTTAATTCCAATTCTACTTGTCAATTGCTGATACCCAGAAAAACGATGGGTTTCGGGATAACTGCCTTTAATTTTCAGTATTTTGTTGACTCTTTCAAATGCTCTGTGTGGATGATCACATAACCTGTGAGCAGCATCTGCTTGTATTTCCTCCCAATCTAAGTGTCTTCTTTGCTTTTCTTGTCACATTAGCTGTGCTGCGCAAGAGTGGTGGGAAAGGCCTTCCTTGCTTTGTCTCTGATCTTAGCAGGAAGTCTCCCCCTGTGTTGCCATTACCCCAGTACTGGTTAGGATTCTCCTAGTGTTCTTTAACCCCGTGAGGAAGACCTCCCTGTCCTTTTCCTTGCTGAGAGTTTTTATCATGAGTGGATGTTGCATTGCGGCCAATTCCTGTTTTGCCTCTATTGATATGATCGTGTGAAGTTTCCTCTTTCATTTGTGAATTATGTCAACTGATTTGCGACTCTGAACCAGCTTTCCATGCCTGATATATACCCACACAGTCATGGCACATATTTCATTTTCTACATTGTTGGACTCCATTTGTTGGTATTTGTGCATCTATGTTCATGAGAAAAACTGTTCTCTGATTCTTTCCTTGTGACATCTCTGGTTCTGGTCTTGGGGAAATGCTGGCTTCACAGAATGCACAAGGAAGTGCACCCTCTGCCTCGGATTCTGGAAGAGATTGTGGAATTTCCATAGGATTTCTCTGTATGAGGGTGGGAAGAACTCACAGTGGGTTCATCTGAGCCCAGTGCTGTTTGTACTGGAAAGTTATTAATTATTGATTCAATCACTGTAATAGATACAATCTGTGTAGGTAATAGGCTTCTTGTAAGATGTGGGCAAAATTTTCCTTTTAAGGAATTGGCCCATTTGGGGAGGTCATCAAAAGTATGGCCATGGAGCAGCACACACAATTCCTTTACTAACCCCAGGGCAGCTTCTGGGATCACAATAGGAAGAGTGGGCTGCAGGGCTAGTACTTAGGGCCACAGGATGAGTACAGGGGCAGCTGAATGCTGTACACCCACAAGAGGGTGGGCAAAGCCACTGAATACTTCTCAGGTACAAATAGGGTGGGCAGGACCACCTGAATCCTTCCCAGGGCAATAGGACCTTGGGCCAGGGCCATTGGAATGCTTCCCAGGGCCACAGGACAATGGATGGGGTCACCTGACTGCACTGATAGGCTGTGGTTTATAGCAGGAGGCAGGTCAGGGAGGGAACAATGTGGATTAGGCCCTTTTTCCAAGATTATGTAAGAGTGTGGATTCCTTGGCTGCTCCTTAAACCAAACTCAGGGATTGCTGGGCACACAGTCCTGGTGTCACTGTCATGAATAGGGGCTAGGGACCTTCTGCTCACCCCTTCCCTGCAGTGTGAAATCCCTCTTGGTTCAGGCTTAGTCTCTACTGGGACAGTAGGTGCTGAGAGCTGTGTTCCCTCTTGATAAGATCCACCCTTGCCTCTGAGCTCCTTACATCTCTGACACATCCTGCTGCGCTCCAGTGCTCTCTCCACGTCACTGTACTGAAACAGCAGCTCTTTTTTCCTTTCCTGGGCTTCTCAGGTGTGGATGGAAGCATGCCCACAGCTGTCTCACTGACATGGTCCCTATATTCATGTTGAATTCTTAGAAAAACTCACCAACACGTTTTCTAATTATAGCCAACT